AATGTGTTGAATTATTAACAGACTCCAGTTTCATCAACCACTGAATGCAAAGAAAGTAGTGTTTTCTTAAAGAAAATAATTTTTTGGTGGAAGCTGTGTTTAGAGGTGTTCATCCCAAATAAGATTTGCATGACAACATTTTGAGCAAGATGACATAAGCTGAAAACTGAAATTCAAGTGAGCAAGCAGAGCTGTGTAGAAGGTGGACTGTCTCTGTTCAGCTGGAAGCTGATAACCTGGAGTTATTTTCATGGCTTCTTTTCAGTGGTGTTAGATCTGATGCCTTTCTCTACTACATAGCCACCAGACAACTTCTTATGGTGAATGAAAAACATTATGTATGTTAATACAGGATAAAATAAAGTGAGCATAAAAATAATTCTCCCAAGTGAGCATTAACAGCATTTATGGGTCTGCAGATAGTGTTTGTTTTTCTCCCACCAAGTCCTAATATCCCATTTGTTAAACTACTGCTTTTGATTTTTAGCTTTAACTTTACAGTTTAGGAGCCCATATCTAAAATAGCAAATTCGCTACTCACTACAAAACACTGAAAGAAAAACAGACCGGTGTGTAACTTGGACTCGTCAGCCAGCAGCTGCACCTCATCCTGCTAATCTTTAAGCCTTTTTTTTCTTAAAAAAAAAAAAAAAAAAAGAAAAAGAAAAAAAAAGGCAGGGACTTTTAAGAGTTAAGTTACACAACTCTCATTTTATTTTTAAAGCGAGTGGATTCCTTGTTGCGTTGTTGAGGATGATAAATTGATACCACATGTTCCTTCCAGACAAAAAAGACTCTGTACTGCAGTGGAAGCACTTGCAGCTGGTGTCTGAGTTAGTGGACAGGCTCCACAAGGTAAACATGGCTTGGAAGAGGCTGAAATGGGCACAGGGAGGGGGAATTTTCTCCATTTTAAAAGCTCAAGCATTTGCTGCTGTTGTCTGACTGGGTCTGAGTGTTGAAATAACACGCAATCCCAGCCTCCTTGGGAGACTCATTCAGTTGTTTGTATCAAATTAGGGATATGGCACTTTGGAAATGTTTGAGTGTCCTCTCTGTCAGCTTGCCTGTTTCCACTCTTATCAAAATATTGAGAGAGAGTTGTATAATTAGGACATGGTAGCTGATCTCGGGGGATTTTCTTGCGAGCAAAATGTAGCTGGATCCCTCCAGGAGTATTAACTGAATAAAACACAGTGCAGTGGATCAACATTTATTGAAGTTGAGAGCATGTCCCTTAGTTCGGGGAAAGTGATATAAGCCCTGGTGTTGCTGCCCTGGCTGTTCTGGGCACCCAGCTCACCCCTTCTCCTGGTGCCATCAGCCTAAGCCGAGGGAGAACAGCAACACTGCTTGCCTGTGGCACTGCACCACCCTCTGCTCACACCAGTTCTGCCTGGTCTCCCGTGTTCCTCTGCCTTGAGCCTTCCTTGTCTGCAGGGACAGTCCCTCTTCTTGCAGGACCACTTTCAAAGGGGACTTCAGCCCAGCTGGTCTGGCCTCAGGGCAGTACACGATGCTCTAGATGTTATCTGCCGGAACCTCAGTCTTCTGGCTTTCAGTAGAGTGCAGGACATTCTTCAAGTCCAGTATAAATAGTAACACTAATAAAGGGAGGAGCTCATCCTATTTCTTTTTTGCTCTGCTCGAGTACAGTCCATATGCTGTACCCATCGGTGGTATCTGAGCTGTCTGCCGTCTGGCTAGCATCTATCCCATCTACATATGGTCTCCAGGACAGATGATGGAAGTTCCTTTATGGATCTTTTAAAGTTTCTCATTGCGTTTTGGCATGGAAAAATGTTTCAAGTTTCCATCATCATGGCCTAATTCATCTCCTACATAAGTCAAAGACAAATCCCCATTAATTTCATCAGCAGTGGGTTCAAATGATAAACTGTATTTTTTTTGTTTCCCCACCTCCTTTGTGGTTTGTTGCATGGTCATATATTAGTAATGCACATGGTTGTGAGCAACAATTGTCCCTATATACTTTCCTATCTTTTAGGCAGATGGGAATATTTTTTGACAGCTCAGAAAACAGGTAGAAAATACAGTTATTTCCATCCAGATTGCCACCTGGTAGCACAGTGAACAGCCTTTACTGATGTGAGTTGTCAATCCTGGTGGCTTCTGTAGCAAAACTTGCATGAGAAAGTATAATAGGATCCAGCCCTAATTTGATTTGGCAGGGGCTCCAACAGAAGGAGAAACCAAAAATCTCAGATGCTGTTGCTGAAGAGGTTAGTGGGGGAGGTTACGTGAAAGAAGTGGGTTTTAAGGCAGTGTTTGAACAGGGGGTGGAGATGGGGTACACAGAAATAAATTGGCCCATAATTATGCTTAAGAAAATCTTCCTGCAGAAGAAAAGCAAAGAAAAACAGAAGCAGGATTGTAAGTGACATAGTGTTTAATGTAAAAGAAAACAAACTGCTTGGATTTTTTATAACCACCAATTTTCAATGCAGAAAGATTATTACATTCTTTTATTATTTGTGTAAAACCGACACTGAGCAAAAAGATATAATAAGAAAATTACACATGTGCACATACATATCTACACATGCAGGAGTCCTCATCCTGAAAGGTGCCCCAGTCTCACAATTTTACCATTTAGAATTTTTCATGGTTTTAGGCCAAATACTTTCATACTGTGGATACCAGCAGCAGAAATAAGTGCTTTTAGGAGAATACTATAGGCTGAAAACTGTTAGCTGCTGGCACTTCAGCTGAGTGTTTTTATATCTGAAGCTGTGCATGGCATGCTTCATATGCCACCTCAGGTGTTTCTTCTCTCTAAGATTTATTTTTCATTAGCAAGAGTCATGATGCCAAGTGTTCTTACACCCAACATTTTTAGGTGGGGAGCAGCATGGTTCGTATGGCTTTTGAAACCTGGTGTGGACTTTGCATGGAGAAATCCCCATGCAGATATTCTCACAAGTGGTTGTTCATGGAAGTTACAGGGAGTGAGGGGTGAGAGTTACTTGCAGAGATGCAGTACAAGCTGGAATATCAAGAAAGGTTATTTAAAAAAACCAAAACAGTTCTCCAGCCAGTTTTACAGGGAGAAACTTGAGTAAGTAAGGAGTGGAGCCTAGTTATTAGAAGTTAGACTGTTGCCAGACTCAAAATATGGTTAAAATGTCATCAGTTAAACAATAAAAAGCTTTTTCCCTCCTTAGACTGAAGAACTATTATGGTGCAACTCAGTCCACTATATTTTGATGGCATGATAGTCCCTCAGAAATGGACATGTTTATAGCTGAGGCACTGCCTCAAACTTCTCTTGAACATGTCAGCAAAGTCTGATCAGCTGCTTTGTGTAAATTGTTTAAAACATAACAGTTGCTGTTTTGAAGCGTGGTCCATATGATTTCTCTTTTCATTAAGTGATAATCACAACCACGTCTGCTGTCTGCGTGCGAGAACTTCAGGCATGTTTTCCATTTCACAATCTGACAAAAACCACAATGCTCAACAGTGGGGAAAGAAAGCCATTTTATACTGAAAAGAATTGTTTTTTTAAAAAGCTGGGCTGTACTTCTTTATATGTATCTCCAGTTTATTTATGTCAAGCATCCATTTTTCCTAAGGATGCAAATGTTGAGGTGCGGGTAGATGATTTGTAGATTGATTCATTCTTTGCCCAATTAAATCTGGAGTTTCTTCAGTGTTTTGTAAACAAAGGACACTTGTTCTGAATGGTTTGATTGTTTTACAGTCTTGCTGACTATGTGTTTTTAAAAGATGTTGATAGCACAAATGTGATTTTATCCTTTTCATAGATACACCCAGTAATTGCCAAAATTTAAGAAAAGAACTCTGTACTCTTTAAGCTTAGAGGAATACTAGAAGGGGTTTTTCAAAGGAATATGGGATAGTTCCAAAAATCTTTTGACTTCCACATGGGAAAAAAATGTTGGTTTACCGAACCTGGAAGCATTCACACTAACAAATACTATTTGCTTTTCCTTTCTTTGATCCATATTTTAAGCACAAGATCAGCAGGATGAGCAGAGTGGGATTTTCATGTCAGTTATTTTGGTTTAAATCTGGTGCCATTCCTCTGGGAGTACTGTGGGCTGGTTTTCTCAGACTCTTTCCGATTCTGAGGGGGGATTATCATGGGTTTTGGCCAACGTGGTGTTTGGGCAGGTCAGTGCTGGTGACTAGTGCAAGCAGGTAAGATGCAAGAGCAGGCTGTGTGCAGGCTCCCCTGAGTATTTCACAGCATCCTGTACAGCACGGAGTATCCGGCTGAGTACAGCAGCTTTATACAACTCTGTATCCAGCAGCTTACGGGGACAGGGGTATCGTTGCATACTGTGTCACATCATGTTTTGAAGGCTGTGAGGATACTATAGCAAGGGGACAGCTGGCCAGCTACTGCCGTATGGGCATAATTCTGGTGCCTCTAATCAAGAGAGAAAGTACAGCTTAGTCATGCACAGAGTGCCTGTGGGAGAGGAGCAACAGCACTTGCAGTTTTCTCAGGAATTATTATAACAAATATACAGCACACGTGCCCATGAAGAATTAAAAAGACATTTGCAGAGGCTGCAATGAGTGTGACTACCCCTCCAGCCAGATTTTTGCTGTGCCTTTGCAGTTTTTATTTCAAGGAACTGATGGCAAGATTACTGATAGTAATAGTTTGTCCTGAGTCAAAAGTAAGGGAGAAACATCTAGCTCCCTTCTAGCAGGAATGTCACACTCCTTTTCTTAAGATGAAGCTTTTAGGGATACAGACATGGGCACAAGGGATGCACAGCCAGTGTAAGCCTGGGGCTTGTTTTACAGCAGGATACTGCCATGCCACAGTCACACTCCAGCCCTCTTATATCCAGCACCAGAGAAATTCATGGAGATGTCCATGAGGGTCCAGTGATTTTTTTCATGTTGCTGTTATCATGGGATGTTGGTTTAATGATTGAGATTTGAGTTGTAAAAGAAGTGGGGTGCCAATCTTGATGCTTTATTTTGTTGCTTTCCTGCAGAATTCCATCCGGCACAACTTGTCACTCCACAGCCGATTCGTCAGGGTGCAGAATGAAGGCACCGGGAAAAGCTCTTGGTGGATGATCAATCCAGATGGTGGAAAAGGCGGCAAGGCGCCCCGGAGACGCGCTGTGTCAATGGACAACAGCAACAAGTACACCAAGAGCAGGGGGCGGGCAGCAAAGAAAAAGGCAGCCCTGCAGACAGCCCAGGAGACGAGTGAGGACAGCCCTTCCCAGCTCTCCAAGTGGCCAGGGAGTCCCACCTCCCGCAGCAGTGACGAGCTGGATGCATGGACAGATTTTCGCTCCCGTACAAATTCAAATGCCAGTACAATCAGTGGCCGCTTGTCACCAATTTTGGCAAGCACAGAGCTCGATGATGTTCAAGATGACGATGCTCCACTCTCTCCCATGCTGTACAGTAGTCCATCGAGCTTGTCCCCGTCGGTAAACAAACCATGTACTGTGGAGTTGCCTAGGTTGACTGATATGGCTGGGACAATGAACTTGAATGATGGACTGACTGATAACCTCATGGATGATCTCTTGGACAATATAACACTCCCTCCCTCCCAGCAGTCACCCACAGGAGGGATGATGCAGAGAAGCTCCAGTTTTCCTTATGGTTCCAAAGGTTCAGGGCTGGGCTCCCCATCAAGCAGTTTCAACAACGCTGTGTTTGGGCCGTCGTCCCTGAATTCCCTCCGCCAGTCACCCATGCAGACAATTCAGGAGAACAAGCAGGCCACCTTCTCTTCCATTTCTCATTACAACAACCAGACGCTGCAGGATCTCCTCACCTCTGACGCACTTAGTCACAGCGATGTCATGATGACACAGTCTGACCCACTCATGTCACAAGCCAGCACAGCTGTGTCCGCCCAGAATTCCCGCAGGAATATAATGCTCCGCAACGACCCCATGATGTCGTTTGCTGCTCAGTCCAGCCAGGGCGGTCTGGTCAATCAGAACCTGTCCCATCACCAGCACCAGTCCCACAACTCCTCTCTCAGTGGCAGCCGTGCCTTGTCCAGTTCCATCAGTAACATAGGCTTGAGTGACTCCAACAGCTTGGGATCCACCAAACATCAGCAGTCACCTGTCAATCAGTCTATGCAAACACTTTCTGACCCGCTGTCAGGCTCCTCTTTGTACTCTAGCGTGAACCTCCCTGTCATGGGACATGAGAAATTCCCGAGTGACTTGGACCTGGACATTTTCAACGGGAGCCTGGAGTGTGACATGGAGTCCATTATCCGCAGTGAACTCATGGATGCCGATGGGCTGGATTTTAACTTTGATTCCCTCATCTCAGCTCAGAACGTTGTCAGTCTGAATGTGGGGAACTTCACTGGTGCTAAACAGGCTTCATCACAGAGTTGGGTACCAGGCTGAAGGATCTTTGAGAACAGGGAAAACGGGCAAACAGGTCAGTGCCCCATAGATGTGGTAAAATAATTGGTTCCTTAGTTTTATTGGAGTTTGCACCAAACCCTTAATAGTTAGTGCACACTAATAATAGTAATTTGGCTTGTGATGGCTTGCTGTGTGTTGGTATGCAACAGGTTCAACCAAGAAACGTGGAGGTGTGGAGGGAAACGAGGCTAAGCTATAAAAGCTGCTCAGCTGCAACACTGTCAGCACGCATCTGGTGCTCAGCGCCCTTCTTAATTTAGGCATGAGAAATGTTAATGACAAATCAGGCAGACCAAGGTGGAATATTTGTGGTTTTTAGGAATCGCAGAGCTCTAACTTGCCTTCTTTGAAGTCGCAACAGATGGATTCTTTCTTGCAGCCGATGCCACATGTAGCCAAGCTGTGTTACACAGGGATGAGGCGAGGGGCTCTGCTGTCAGTGGACCAGTGTTGCTGCAGGGGAGAAGGAAGAGTGAGTGTCTTTGCAAGATCAGAGCACTTGCTGGGAATCAGGTGTGTGGGACAGATCTAGACAGAGCCAGAGCCGTGCTGCTGCTGTGGCATAGCAACACTAGCAAAATTGTTTGGGTTTGCTTTTTCCTAAAATTATATTTCTTGGCCAAAAAAAGGTACCAAATGGAGGAATTATATATTGGTGGGATCCTGGTCTCAGGAATGTCCTGGCCTACTTCATGTTTTAAGTATGCAAAAACTGTTGTCCTTTTCCCCCCGCCCCTGAATGGACTCCTCCAAGAGAATATCTGTAGATTTGGGTTCTGACATAGGTGTTTTTTAAATATTAGCTTCTTCAGATTAATTTTTTTCAAGATTGGTATGTTTTTTTCCATCACTCATTTTCCACAGCTGGGGACTTGTAATCATAGTTTCTGTCATCCTTTTGTGATTCTGCAGGATCCTGCCCATACCTCTGCCTGCTCACGCATACATATTCCCTGACTCATAGGGCAGGTGCCACACAAAGTGCCCTTTCTCCTTTGTTTATTTGTTAGTATAAGGGAGTAAATTTCAAGATGTAGTAGGATAAAAGGTTAGCTATAAATTATTGAAAGTGTTCTATTAACTTCAGAATAGTATGTAGAGCATCTCAGTGGTGAGGTTAAATGAGGCATTCATTCAGTTTACAGCTTGCCTCCAGTTTTCTTATTTTCCAGGTGAAGGATGGAAAGAAGGAGTCAGTGTCCTTTGACTTTACAGTGCATAATTTTCTCCTTTCATCTTTAATTGCGTTTTCATTCACTGTTTCACAGTTAGATGTTCAAGGGGAAGCTTTGTGGTAGGTGAGCAGCAGTGGTGAACCTCGAGAATGTTTTCCTGTTTCCTGTGTGTACGGAGCACCTCAGGAGACGTGCTGAGATCTGCTCTCTGTGAGGGAGAACAAGGTTGCCCAGGCATCCTCCTTTCAATCGATCTGCAAAGCTGCCGTGCTCTGATGGAGTGGTTGATGTGCCCAGTCCTTTCTCTGTCAGTTGGAAGGATTTCCTCTGGTTTTTGCACATCTCACTCTTAGTGAGAGCATTGCAGTGCACAGCCAGGAGACAGGCTGTGGAGAAGAGCTGTAGAGGATACTGCATCCCACGGACCCTGAGCAAGGCAGCAACTTGGCAATGTCAGGGCCACAAATGAATTTTGGGGTTTCTTCAGTTCCAGTAATGGAGAATTTGGGAAAAGAAAGGAGGGAAAAAAAGATAATTGATTCAAGGCTGAGGAAGCAAAAGTTTGCAGCAGGTCATGCTGACCAGTTCTCTCTTCTTCAGGTGCATGAGCTTCTTGGATTTAAAAATCCTTTTTGCACGATGTAAAAAAAAGGCTGTAGGAACTTTACTGCTGTACAACATCCAGCAGCACAATCTTTCAAATGAGGCCTGAAAAATAGATGTTATTGACAGTTTTGCTTGATGCAGGAAAGCAGGGAAGCTTCCTGCTTCCACAGCTTTGCGTGCTGTGTGTAGGTAGCAGCTGCCACAGGGGGACTTACGTGGGCAGCGTGGAGGAGACACAGCACCCCACCTCCTCATTGATGCTCCCTGCTGCCTCTTCACCCCAGCCTCTGGCATCCAGGGAAAGCATAGCTGCCGTGATCTTTTTCAGGCTGCTCTCTCCGAATAAAGGAAGTGACACATCTGTGTGAGCAGAGTCTCATTGCAGAGGACAGATTTATTAATGAGACAGCTCTCCTCAGTGGATTACTGTCCAGTCATCTGTGGAAGCCTCTCTTGCTCTCCCTGACAAGTGGACCGGCTGCTGCGGGGTGCCTGCAGTATCAGGTGCAAGCACAGATGATTTCTGCTGAGCTGGTTCATCATGAGCCCTTCCTCATCTGTTAAGCACCACTGTTTAAGAGTTTGCCTCCCCATGAGCATCTCATATTTTGATTGGGGCTTCTCGCATGACATCAGATGCAATCATTCTGAATTGCTTTTCTTGGTTACTTCTCCACTGCAGCAATAAGGATCCCCTGAATTAAAATCTTCTCTCAGCAATGTTCATGACCCCAGTAATGAATCTTTACAAGCCCAAAGACCAGGGAACGCTTTCGGCAGAACAGCCTGGCAATTGCTTATTCTAAATCCATTTCACAAGGGTAGCCAGGTGTGTTTTGCAGGCAGGGAAAAGCAGTTACAATGGATTATTGGCATACCTAGGAATAGTGAGTGCTGTGTTTTCTATTAAAAATAAGAGAAACATTGGAGTCAGTTTTCAGGAAGAAAAGAAAGAAGGCAAATACACATACTTAGGTATAGAGGGAGGTTTACTTTGGAAGAAAATCAACTACAATTTCTTCATAGGGAAATTAAAAAACTCTGCAGGAGATGCCACTGTTACAGGTTTAGTGGCTGTGCACGTTTGCTGCACACAAGCCTGTGCATGGTCCCTGCAAAGAACCCTGCCCAATCTCAGCCCACCAACCAACCTGTGCCTGTGAGGCTGCCCATGCCCAGCCTTTCAGAGGGCCCTCATTGAGGCATATAAATGAATTTGGGTTTGGCTTGGTTTGGTTTTTTTGTCTCTCAGAAGAAGGAATGGAGAAAATATTTTTTTTTCTTGCTATATTCACTCAGCCATATTTTTTCCTCTTATACTGCCTGGGGCCTCTATTCCTCCATCTCTACCTGCTTTCCAAAAGCATTGGATAATGCCCTCCACCCACTCAGACAATCATCACCTTGGTATTTCAGTGCGTTTAGCAATAAATAGACATCACTATTCCCTCATCTGTCTCTAGAATACCTTTTTTTTGGAAATTAATGGGTCCTTCTCTTAGTCTGGGATTCCCACAGCTCTGCACTTTGCTCCGGGGTCTGTCTCACCTGGCAAGTCCAAAGGGTTTTGGCTTTTGCTGAAGAGGAATCCCAAAACAGCATCAGGGAAGGCTATTCAGGGCATGTGCTGCTGCCTGGAAGGTCAGGAGGCGGTGAGCAGTTGCTGCATGGGCAAACATTTTTTCCAGCACCAAAACTCATCCAAGAAGTTGCTTTTACCTGGATTGTTTCGGTGATCCAGTTTACAGTGGCATCATGCAGGCAGCAATGCTGGCAGGGTTGGGCATGGGGTGGAGAAAGGCTTAGCATGAGCAGGGCAGGAACTTCTTGAGTTGGTGTCATAGTCTGAAAAACTCATCTAAGCTGTATCTTCTGAAAGAGATTTCAATGTGTCATTTATCAGAGTCACGCTGGGCTCTGTAACAGAGCTGTGCTGGACTCACATTGACTTACTTGAAAATTGCATGTAAAATACTTGACAGATCAGTTAAAGTCACTCATTTCCCACTCGTATCATCTAGGTCCCACATTTCCTTATTGCAGAATACACAAGCTGCAAATAGCAACGTCATATAATGTTCACACTCGATGATTGACATCTCTGGTTATGAAAATCTTAGGAAACCTAACAAAAGGTCTGTTAGTCTTTCATTAGTCCATATCAGCTTGTACTACCTGCCAGTTTGTTAATTGGTGTTCAGCCTTTTTCTGTGTACAATTCATACCTAAGACAAATAGGTCTGAGGGTGACTTCATGTTTACAGCACCATCTTAAAAGGGAAAACAGGTAGTCAGAGATCTCCATTTGGATGGAGTTTTGAATCAAAGAGTTCTGTACAATTTGCCACAAAGAAGATGATTTTTATTTTCTGCCAGAAAACGTCTGCCCATGAAAGCTGTGTTACTGGACCTCTTACCTGATGACCTGTGACTGCCTCAGGACCATAGCTGCACTTGCTTCTCTCTTATTTTCAAAAATGAGGTCTTAGGGATAGGGCTGCCAGGTTTCTTACACAGAGCTAAGGTGGGGCTGTCTGCCTGTAAAAATCTAAAGGAAATTCAAGAGCAGCACATTCTTCTGCTCCATTTCTAGTAGGCTAGTGGTTAAGGTGGTGGCACTTGTAACATTTAAATGTTGTTTCTGCCACCCCAAGTTTTGAAAGGTGGTTTTGTGACTAAGTTGAACTCCATGCATGCCAAGTTTAATCTTTGAACAAAAATATCTATGTAAAAAATGTATTTTGTGGGGAACAGGGATCCCTTCAATTCCAAGGAGGCCCTGCCCTGACCACGCTCTTCGGTGGTTGGGGACCACATCAGTGTCACAGGAAAAAACTCTCTGCTCATGGCTGCTGGGGAGGAGGAGAGGGGAAATCTGGGCAAACCCCATTGGAACTGCCCCCCATGAGATCCCACTGAAGCTCATCAAAGCCCCTTTCATACAGGGGCCAGCCAGTCCTGGACTTGCAGGGATACTGTGACTTTTGCTGTGTGAAGACAGCAGGAACTGACACACAAACGCAATGAATTGCTCAGTCCTTTTTGGAGTAGGGCTTTTTTGTTCTGGTATGTTTTTAATCTGGGTTTATTGTTTTGGGTTTTATTAACCTAGGGAAAAGATCTGTAAAAACCAAGATTGTCTCCACAGGATTGTGTTGTGTTGTGAGTGTAAAGCAGCTGAAGCCAGGACAGTGGCCTTATCCTGTGGTTTGGGTGTTCTTCTGTTGGTTTT